AGCCTCAAGCTGTCCCCCTGGGTAGAGTGCCATGGCATCTCAGCTCACAGCAACCTCCAACTCCTGGGCTCAAGTGAGTCTTCTGTCTCCGCCTCCCAAGTAGCTGGGACTACAGGCCGGCTATTTTTTGGTTGCAGCCGTCATTATTGTTTGGCAGGCCCAGGCTGGATTTGAACCTGCCACCTTGGGTGTACATGGCTGGCGCCTTAGCCACTTGAGCCACAGGCACCTAGCCGGGAGGCTGGTTTTCTGATGGGGCCTGGTGCTGATGGCTCAGTTCTTTCCTTTGGGGAAAAGCAGAGGACCAGAAAGCCAACTGCTCGTCCACCTGCATGAGCTTTAGACTGAAACACAGCGCAGGCCAGCAGGGCAGGCCCTTGAAAAGGCCAGAGCAGCCCGGGTTCGGGGTCTGGAGGACACTGTGTGCAGTTTTCAAGCCTATCCCTTCTCTACTCCCTCATTCTAGAAGGTGCTGGATGAATGCCAGAATCAGCGGGCCTGCCACCTCCTGGTCAATAGCCGTGTATTTGGACCTGACCTTTGTCCAGGAAGCAGTAAATACCTCCTGGTCTCCTTTAAATGCCAGCCTAGTAAGTAACTTCTGAGGGGGGCAGTGTGTTTGGGGTGTGGTTTCCGGTGAACACTCTCTGCCCGTCTGTATTCGTCCAATGTTGAAACTCTTGTTAATAGGAACATGGGGCTCCGTCCTACCTAGTTTTCAGAGAAAGAGAGAGAGTGTGTGCATGCGTGTGTGTACATGCATATATGTGAATTCTTATAAATGCTAAAATGTTTAAAAAATTATTCCCAACATGATGTAAAACTCAGTTGTATTGATGCTAAAAATATCAGGAATGGAGAGAGATTGCAATTTCAGTTTCTTAAAATTCTGCCATCTTGTGTGGAGGCTCATCCCGGACAAAGGGCTGCCTGTGTTTCCTTGAGGACCAGCAGCCCAGTTCCCACCTGAGCCCACCGCCTCAGATCTTTATGAACGCGCTTCTCCCCGCTCACCATGGTGGGGGCTACTTCAGTGGGGTGTCCTCAGGAGAATGAGAGCGGACACCCTCTCTGGAGCTGTCTTCTTTATTCTGATTCTTGTTCGCATCTCCGTATCTCCGTTGAGTTTTGCCATGTCTAATGCGCATCAGTTTTGTGATCCACCCCCTGCTGGCCAAAAGTAATCACTCTTCAGCAAGGAGGGTCCTGCTTCCAGGCGCAGAGGGTCTGCCCAGAAGAAACTGAAGGACACTGTAGCATCAGGGGCTCTCAAGCAACTTGTCACAGAGAATGATAGCGACACGTTTAACCAAAACAGTAAGGAATAAGGATTTAAAAAATTCCCCCGCCACCCTGCACAACTGTTTTTACTATTTGCATTTTGTTCTCTGATATTCCTGCCCTGAAGCCCAGCATTCTCCTAGACACTGGGGTCCTGGGGGCCGGAGATGGGGAGCTCTTGGGCCACATTCTTGGGTGCACATTTGGGGAGTGACCCCTGGATCCATTCAGCAGATTCAGTGGCTTCTTCAAAACCCTCTCCTGCTAGAGCCACGACACCAGATCTCCCTCTGTGGGGGCTCTGCCCAAATGCTATGCCTGCAAACGCACACACATTCACACACTTGTCTGTGAGCGTGCACACACACGCAGAGCAGACAGTCACACATCGTCACACACACTGTTGCGCCTTTATGCCCGCTTGTACACACTGACACATTAAAACTGTCACACACACACACATTATCACACACACACATACACACACCCTACCTCCCTCAGCAGACTTGGGAAAATCAGTTCAGGAGCTGCGTCCTCCCACCACCGAAATCTCAGAAACTGACTGTGCTCTTGACAGTGCCCTTGAGTGCTGTCAGTTCTGCTTTCTTTTTTTCCTTCCACATGTCAGTTCTCTCCTTCCACAGTGAAAAAGAAAACTTATCCAGAAGCAGTCCTTGTTCAGGATGTTAGTGATCGGAGAATTGAGGAGGAAGGAACATGATCGGTTATTGTGATATTCTTTCATATTTTCTACAAGTTTGAGCTTTTTCTTTTTTTTTTTTTTGGTAGAGACAGAGTCTTACTTTATTGCCCTCAGTAGAGTGTCATGGTGTCACACAGCTCACAGCAACCTCCAACTCCTGGGCTTAGGCGGTTCTCTTGCCTCTGCCTCCCAAGTAGCTGGGACTACAGGCGCCTGCCACAATGTCCGACTATTTTTTTGTTGCAGTTTGGCTGGGGCCAGATTTGAACCCATCACCCTGGGTATATGGGGCTGGTGCCCTACCCTCTGAGCCACAAGTGCTGCCTGAGCTTTTTCATTTTTCATAATGAAAAGTTGAGCAAAACAGCCTTAAGGGAAAAAAAAAATAGCCTTTGTAAAATTGGCCGGACCAGGGCTACAGCATCAATGCTACAGTGTGCAGTTAGTTAGTTAGAGACAGAGTCTCATCTGTCACCCAGGTTAGAGTGTCATGGTGTCAGCCTAGCTCACAGCAACCTCAAACTCCTGGGTTCAAGCAAAACTCTTTTTTCAGCCTCCCAAGTAGCTGCGACTACCGGCTACTGCCATGATACCTAGCTAATTTTTCTATTTTTAGTAGAGATAGGATCACTCTTGTTCAGTCTGATCTTAAACTCCTGAGCTCAAGGGATCATCCCACCTCGGCCTCCCAGAGTGCTAGGATCACAGGCATGAGCCACCATGCCCGGCCTAGTCTGTTTATTAATTTCATTTCAGTGAGCACTTATTCAGCACCTACTATGAGCAGTGTTGGTGCCCTGTGGGAAGTGGCACCTCCTTGCTGACTCTTTGCCTGCAGCTCTCTGGCCTCCTGAGGTTCTCCATCCAGTTTCAGCCCCTGCCTGACTCTCTGATCTTTCAGAGATGCCACTACTGCCCCTGGGGGTGTGGGAACAAGTCACTTGCCTCTGTCCCCAGCACTGTCTGTATTCTGTGACATCTGCAGGGAAATTAAGAAATACCACTCTTCGGGGTGTGTTGGTTTGGTTTTCCTCTCAGCTACCAGCGAACTTCACTAGGACTTTCCTTCCCTAGTGTGCACCGTTCTTCCCCCCAACACTCATCCCTCTGGGAATTGAGGTTTCAGCGAGGCTTTGGATTTAGGCATTTCTGGATTCATACCCCTTTCTTCTGTGTAGCTGCTGTGTGACCTTGGATAGCGTAGGGACACTTTCTGAGGCTCCAGAACTCCGAGACATGATGGCAAGTGTCCCTCTGCGTAGGGCTGTCATAAAGACTGTGGGAACACTGCATAAGGTTTAGCACAGGGCCTGTCGGGGCAGGGCTCAGAGATGGGCAGCTCTGTTCCAAGAAGCAGATTCAAGTAATTCTGGGTAAAGATGTGAATGACTGAAATACAGTGGTAGAGCAAGGGTTGGGGGGACTGTCTGCCCTGGGAGCAGGAAATAGCAGGGTACGTTGTCTGTAGAGAACTTCAAAACACAATAAACACCACTCAGTGTCTGTCTGTGTTTAAATATCACTACGCACGGGCAATTGTAGGCAAAATCAGTAATAAAATGCTCTCATCATGGTGGATCCTCCCATGCCCACCTTTGAAAGGCAGCCGCTGGGGACCTGAATGACCCGTGTCCCCCTCTACTTGGTAGAATGAGGAGGGAGAATGCTGTTGGCCTTTAAGCAGAGTCCTGGTTCCCCCTTCCCAGGCTCCTGTCACTCTCTCCATCTGAGCCCCAGGGGTGCTGGCAACTCACTTCTGGAAGGCTGCCCACACCTTCTCTAATCTCAGAGCAACTGGGAACTCTAGCCCAGCCCTGAAACAAATTCTAGTCCTCCAAGAAAAGTAGCAATAATGTTAGTAGTCCCATTGTTTTTCAGAGTGCAGAAATGTCCCTTTAGGTGATGGTGAATTAGCACATTCCTAAGGAACCAAGTATTTCAACGTAAGAGAACAGTCACTCCACATATGTAATGTGACATGCACAGGCCCCCTCCATCTCAGGAGATGATTTGCCCATAATCTGGGAATGAAATCACTGGGCTGTACTTGGAGGTGTTGGGTTACTCTGGGAGGGTTTTACTGGCATCCAGGCTACCTTTAATGAATAGGCTTTAAAAAATCAAAGAGATGTGGCTAATAAATGCATTTCATGGCATGTCTTAAAAAAACTTCTAATTTTTAAAAATTCTGATTAAAAAAGAAAGAAAAAATGAATCTTATTAAAGAAGTTTCCAGTTTGGTGAGATGAAACTTGATTTTGTCCTGCCCTCTCCCACCCTCCTTCCGGGCCAGCTCTGCAACAGGAAGGCATTCTTAGCATTTTTTGGTGCTCTCCTACTTGGAAGGGTGTTGTGGCTCTTTTGGTGTTTCTGGCCGTGCCCTCTTTTTGCATCAGAGGCCATCGTTCCACTGTGCACCTTTGAAGTGAGGCACAATTTTGGTGTTGGTGGGATTTGGCATCTACTCATAAACTCATAAACTGAAGAACTCCTGCCAGTGAGGATATGACTCACCAAAAAGAATCAAACCCTTCGATGTTGGGGTCAGACTTAATGTTCTTTTTATATAGATAAAGAAAACAAAACTTTCCTCAGCTCTAAGTTTAAGCTGTTATATTAAGACTCCAATTGGTGGGTGAAGGGCCTTCAAAACATTTGCTTAGTCACCAATTTAATATTCTGTCCTCGTGGTGGTTCTTTGTGTATGTTAAACTACTAGAGAGGAAGGGGGTTTTGTGAGAGTCTATAGCCTGGTTTCTGCTCTGAGCCTTTCATTATGAATCTTGAATGTTCCCATCATCATGGATGAAAGGACCAAGGTTTACCATCACCAAAGCTGGGGGTAGTCTTGTGATCTTAAAAAATTTTCCTTCCTGTGTTTCAAAAGTTTGGTCTCGCTCCTCTGTTTTTGGTAGAAAGTTGTGGGAATTTATAAGTTACATAAAAGTGGAGTTTATGAGTTTTTGAGAATTACTTCCTTTCATGATTTAAGTTTGGGGTTTAGCACTATTGAATCTGGGAGGTGAAGATTGAGCCCCCCACTGTAGACAGTGTATACAGTTCATGGCTTGCTATGAGGCTTAAGGTGGGAGCTTTGGAATTGTGATTTCAAGCCAAAGTATGAAAGATATTTTACATTTTAGCCCAACAGAACACATACTCACATACACACATACAACTGAAAAAAATATTTTAAATTGTAAAACAGTTTATCCTTTCTTCACATGATACTCTTTAATGTTTTCTAAGGTACTTTATTCTTTTTTTTTTTTTTTTAAGACAGAGTCTCACTCTACTTATCAGGCTGGAGTGCAGAGGTATGATCATAGCTCACCATAACCTCCAATCTTAGGCTCAAGTGATCCTCCCAGCTCAGCCTCCCGAGTAGCTGGGATTGTAGGCACATGCCATCATGCCCTGCTAATTTAAATTTGTTTTTGTGGAGACTGGGTCTCACTATGTTGCCCAAGCTGATCTCAACCTCTTAGCCTCAAATGATCCTCCTGCTTCAGCCTCCTGCAGTGCTGAGATTGTAGATGTGTGCCACTATAATTTTTTAATAATTTTTTTTTTTGAGGCAGAGTCTCACTTTGACACTCTTGGTAGAGTGCTGTGGTGTAATAGCTCACAACAACCTCAAGCTCTTGGGCTCAAGTGATCCTCTTGCCTCAGATTCTTGAGTAGCTAGAACTACAGGTGTCTGCCACAAAGCCTGGCTATTTTTAGAGATGGGGTCTCGATCATACTCAGGCTGGTCTTGAACTCCTGACCTCAAGCAATCCAGCCGCCTCAGCCTCCCAGATTGCTAGAATTATAGGCATGAGCCCCATGCCCACCTAACTTTTTAAATCACTAGTGGACTTCAAATCACAATTTGGAAAACTTTGCTTTGAGGTTTATCATGGACCTAGAATCATGTACTTACAACCCAAGAAATAAATGTGTTAGGAAAACTTGAATGAATGAGGAGCATGAGAGACGGAGGCGGATGGGGGGCTAGTTTTCTTTGCCTGTGGACCCTCTTTCCTCCCCCCCCACCCCTCACCCCCCACCCCCGGCCTATCTATGACAACCTGAGCATCTCCCACTCTTTTAGCTCTTACTTGTGGTTAATTCCAATGCTTGTTTGGCCTCAAGATGCACCTGCCGACTGTGTGGTTGCCTTTCAAAGTAGAAAACCCTAGAACAGGGGATGACAGGTGGAGCTAGCAATTTTTCCTAACAAAATGTTGGGGGCAGGAAAACATATGCAAATAAATGACCGTAGTCCCCTTTATGTTTTGCATTGCTTTTATTTTACAAAATTGATGCTAAGTGACAAACTAGGAGAAGATTTTTCTAACAAAAGAGATAAAAGTTAGTATCCTGGCTCGGCACCTATAGCAGAGTGGTTATGGCGCCAGCCACATACACTGAGGCTGGCAGGTTCAAGTCTAGCCTGGGCCAGCTAAACAACAATGAACAAGAAAATAGCCAGGCGTTGTGGCAGGCACCTACAGTCTCAGCTACTTGGGAGGCTGAGGCAAGAGAATCGCTTAAGCCCAAGAGTTTGAGGTTGCTGTGAGCTGTGACACCATAGCACTCTAGCAAGGGCAACATAGTGAGACTCGGTCTCCAAAAAAAAAAAAGTTAGTAGCCAGAATTTGTGAATCACTCCTACCATGATTTCTAAAAATCCAACACACAATATGTAAAAGATTTGAAGAGGTTGTTCACAGAAGGGCTATTTTGAGTGTTATAGTCATTAGAACATTTAAAGCTGTTAGAACAGGGCCTTGGTGAGAGGAAGTACTCAGTACTCAATGAGTAATAGATACTATAATTTTATTTATTTATTTATTTTATTGTTATTTATTTATTTTTGCAGTTTTTGGCCGGAGCTGGGTTTGAACCCACCACCTCCAGTACATGGGGCTGGTACCCTACTCTTTTGAGCCATAGGCGCCACCCCTATTTATTTATTTTTTTGAGACAGAGCCTCAAGCTGTTGCCCTGGGTAGAGTACTGTAGCATCATAGCTCACAGCAACCTCCAACTCCTGGGCTCAAGCGATTCTCCTGTCAGCCTCCCAAGTAGCTGGGACTGCAAGCCCCCACCACAACGCCCAGCTATTTTTTGGCTGTAGTTGTCATTGTTGTTTGGTAGGCCTGGGCTGGATTTGCCAGCTCTGGTGTATTGGGCTGGAGCCTTAGCCACTTGAGCTATAGGCGCCAAGCCAGCTACTATAATTTTTTTTCAGCTAATATAATTTTGAAACTATCATTATTGGGGTATAATTTACATAGCAAAACATTCACCCCCTTTTAAGTATACAGTTCAATGGTTTTTTTTTTAGTAAATTAACTGAATTGTGCAGCCATGACCACACTCAGCAGCAGAACAATCCTACCCTCTCTTAGTTTCCTGGCGTCCATGTGCTCTTGCCCTTTCACCTCCAGGCTCAGGGGACCACTGATCTATCTTCGGCTCGGACAGGTTTGCCTCATCTGAATATTTCACATAAAAGGAATCATACCATATGGGTCTTTTGTGCCTGGACTATTAGCTGTTACTGCTTTTAAAAATCAAATCATTATTAGATTTTTTTACTAGTTGACTGGTTTGGGGATACATCACTTTTTAAAAAGCCAACAAATCATGTTTTCTTCAGCCGTGCATTTAAAACATTACCACTGTGTGACATTGCAAAGAAAGATTTTACGATGGTAAGGAGATTAAACAAACAAACTTTTCCCTAAGTTCTTTGAGAACAAAGTACGACGTGGTTCAGATCATCCTAACCTAGAATGCACCATCAGCGTGAGGGTCAAGTGTTCCTGGCTTACCAGATTTGGGACAGACGTCTCATGCTTCTCTAAAGAAGGATTCTGAGCAGACACAGTGCCTTGTTTTTGCTCCTTTCCCTAGCAAAGGAAATAATCTGATTTTATATCATCTTTCTTGCTTTTTAAATGCATAAATGGGAAAGCTAGTTATGGAGACGGTGGTGAGATTTAACTGGGCCGTCTCCAGGGCCTTAATGCTTCTATCAGGGAATTCTTGGTCTTGTGTGGGTCCCAAGCCAACACTGGAGAAAAGGCTCCCTTCATTTAAAGAATGTGTGACCTCAGGTGTGGAGAGAGAGAAGCTTCCTTTATGTTCAGTCCCTTTCTGGGACCCCAAACCAAGCAGCGCCCCTGCCTTCACCCTGACCCCCGTCCTCACTTTGCCCCTTCATAGAATTCCTGGGGCTTTGCCCTCGTTGGCAAGCTGCTTCCTACTCCATTCCCGCAGAAAGCTTTTTTTCTAGGGTACGAGACCCCGTGGACTGGCAGGGCCATCTGAATGGCCTCTTTACAGGGTGCAGACCTGGGACCCCGGGGTGAGCAGTGGGACTTGGACAGTGCTCACCGAGTCCCTCTGGGGGAAGCTGATGGTGCCAATTTTTATTTCTGCTTCAGATGAATTAAAAAACAAAACTGTGTGTGAGGACCAGGAGCTGAAACTGCACTGCCACGAATCCAAGTTTCTCAACATCTACTCTGCAGCCTATGGCAGGAGCACCCGGGACGGGGACATCTGCTCCTTGGGCACAGAGCGACTCCCCCCCTTCGGTACGTGATTTTATGTGGTTGCAATTAGGGTGCTGTCCATGTCGTCAGGGCCCTGGCTCCCCATGGACGGAAGCCACGCCGCAGCTAGTGGCTAGGCTGGAGGACAAGCTGCAGGGAGGAGCCACCACACTCTGGGTTCACCTCTTTGTCCTCTAAGTTCCTGATCTGCTGTTGTTCAGTCATTCAACACCGAGGGGTTATTGATCACCTGTCATAGGCATGGGGGAGTCCTCATGACCAATATGGAGTCTATAACTTCGTGGAAATGACCTTCCGACAGTGGACGGGGAGGCCTTGAGAACACAGATAATACATGAGCAAATATGGTGCGTGTCAGGTGCGGAATAGAGAAGTGCTCGGGAGAAAAGCACATCAGAAAGGCAGGGGGAGCAAGCAGGGATGTGCTGTTATATGGGGTGATGGCACGCTGAGCAGAAATGCGGAGGGGCCAAGGGAGTGAGCTGGCAGCTGCTTGGGACGAGTGTCCAAAAAGAGAGAGGATCTAGTTCAAAGCCATGAGACCAGACCATAGCCAGGTGTTTAGTGGCAAGAAGAGCCCCGTGCACCCTTCTTCTTGGAGATGATGGCACAGCAGGGCCTGAGAGCTTCACCCATCAGACCCAGCCGATATCCAGAGAAACAGAACCAACAGGATATGTATATGCGTATTTTTCTGGACAGAGAGAAGTTTTAAGGAATTTGTTCACATGTTGGGGGCTGGCAAGTCTGAAGTCTGCAGAGCAACAGGCTGGAAACTCAGCCAGAATTTCTATGTTGCAGGCTTGAGAAGAAATCCTTGTCGGTAAAACCTAAGTCTTTTCTATTATAGCGCTCAGCTGATTAGACAATGCTCGCCCATATTATAGAGGCTGATCTGCTTTATTCAAAGTCTACAGATCTTAAATGTTAGTCCTAAAAGTACCATCACAGCAACATCTATAGTGTTTGTTTGTTTGTTTTTGAGACAGCGCCTCAAGCTGTCCCCTTGGGTAGAGTGCTGTGGCATCACAGCTCACAGCAACCTCCAACTCCTGGGCTCAAGGGAGTCTCCTGCCTCAGCCTCCCAAGTAGCTGGGACCACAGGCACCCACCACAAGGCCTGGCCATTGTTTGGTTGTAGCCGTCATTGTTGTTTGGCAGGCCCGGGCTGGATTCAAATCCACCACCTTAGGTGTATGTGGCTGGTGCCTTAGCCACTTGAGCCACAGGCACCAAGCCCATCTATAGTGTTTGACTAAACAACTCGTCACTACAGCCTAGTCAAAGTGACATATAAAAATACCCATTGCACTCCTGTCTGTGGAAGTGAAAAGAAGGATCACTATCTGCCTCATACCAGGGATTACGGACCCACCTATAAAACAGCCCAAGGAGTTGCACTTACTGATCAAAATCTAAAATATGCGCCTTCATGTATTAAATGGCTACAGTTTGGCCAGGTCTGGTGGCTCATTTCTATAATCCAGCACTATGGGAGGCCGAGGAGGGAGGATCACTTGAGGCCAGGAGTTTGAGACCAGCCTGGGCAACATAGCAAGATCCTGACTCTAAAGAAAAAAGAAGAAGAAGAAAAATTAGCTGGGTGTGGGCACATCCCTAAAGTTGCAGCTACTCAGGAGGCTGAGATAGGATTACTTGAGCCTAGGAGTTTGAGGATATAGTGAGTTACAGTCATGCCACTACCCTCCAACCTCGACAACAGAGCTGGACCCAGTCTCAAAAATAAATAAATTGCTACAAGTTACTTATGGTTCACATGTGAATCTCAACATAAATTTAAGAATGAAGTGCATGCCTATGTAATATGTTTGACTTGAGAAAAAGAAAAATGAACATTGATGGGGCACACATCTTTGTAGTCCCAGCTACTTGGGAGGCTGAAGCAAGAGAATTGCTTAAGCCCAGAACTTCAAAGCCTGGAAAACAAAGAAAGACTCCAGCTCTAAAAATAATAATAATAATAATAATAAT